TAATTATTAGGGGAGTTTAGGCACTTTTTGGGGCTGCTTGTTGATTGGGAAAAGTTCTAACGCGAGTGTTTGCGTCTGCTCTATATGATGGGGTGTTAATATGAAGTTATGGAAATCTGGCGACCAGTGTCCACAAGAAGGCCTCCATCGCCGAAATAATCCTGAATTATAGGAGCAACCATCCTACGGTCCACAAAAAACTGCATTCAAACACACTTTTACCGGGCCTTTCGGTACTGTAGCAGCGATCATTTACTTAAAAGAGAACTTGTCTATTTATACCAATTAATTTCGATCAAATGGATATCCGACGAGTTTCGTGAAAAACTGCCTCTGACGTCAGAGGCAATCAAAAACTCGGAGCTGTAATGGAGAAGTGGTACAGTGTATAACCTTATCCTTCCCCTACATGCAAGGATTTTCTGAAGTGAGCACCAGACTTATGTCATTTATTGCATTCGTTTGCTGATTGCCCTAGTGCCTACATAGGTCATACATGTCAAAAACTTGGCACCCGCATAAATGAACATTATCTGACAATCGGAAAACGTGACCCATTGTCTCTCGTGTCTGCGCACTATATTGACAATGACCACCGCTTCAATGGGTACAGGATTAAAGGAGTCTTCACGGTTAGGACAAAACAGACACGATAATTTCTCAAAGCTTGGCACTCCGGCACTCCGGCACAAACAGCATTACGTAGTCTTGATTCACATTACGCATCACGCCTGAAATAACAAAAGTCTATCCGTGCTCGGCCAAGTGGGACTTAATCGCTGCTGCGTCCCCAGGCACGTGGTTTACAATCGAAGCGTTTACAACCCCTCTCACATGCAGCGCTGATCACAGCAGGATTCGCATCACCCCCTCCCCCCGCACCTTCATCCCATTTCGAGGTAACTTCTGCCCCCAAACCCTCTAGTGCGACAATCTCAGCCCCCACTTTCATGCAATATGACGCAGAGCTAGTGTTAACAGCTCGAAAATTCACGAGTAGATGATGAGGTGTTAGCGAATTTCCCATCGGTAAGGACATTACCGATTTGACAACTGACTAAGATTTACCAGGGGTATTCCTAGGTTTACTCTATTTTAAAGCTATCACAGACGTGGTTCGCTTCAAAAGATAACTACTTGTCGCTGCCACGATTCCACTCGAATCAGGAGTAAGGTGAACGAGTAAAAATTCAGGAGAAATTTCCCCTGATCCAAAGGGACGTAGACTTACGTCGGCCAGAGTGCCAAACTCGGAGACAAATTTTGAACTTGGTTACAGGGCATTTTTATTTGCTAATGGGGGTAGAACGAGGCGTTCCATTGGAGTTTTAACTCTGCTTATGAAACAATTGTTTTTCCTCAAGTATTGAGCTCAGAGCTCATACTGAGAGAAAATACTGTCTATTTCTATCCCCGAAAAATTCTTACGCCAAACGGCCGGTTTTTACTCCGAGATGAATATATGTAACCTTCTGCGACTTTAAATTTAAAGCCACAAGAGGAGAGGAGCTGAAAGGCGACTTCTAGGGAGTGTTTAGTTTTCAGAACCTTTTTTTAAAAAGAAAGTTAAAACTCCTTTTATGCCAGTAGCAGGTCTCAATAAACTTTTAGGGACGTGATTCATAAGAAATGTTTAAATTCTTTCATTACGGTCATAGGTCTCAGTAGAGTCCACGCCCTGGATATTAAAGCCCTCACGGCACTAGGATGGGGCTGGCTACTATAAACATTTGGCTTAACCGAGCCTGCTCAGAGTGCACTTGATGCACGTAGTCGCCTTCCACCCCTCTACCCCCAGACCCCCCCTATTAGAGCGCATTTAGTGTAATCTGAACACGGGTTTTTCGCCCTAGGCATACGCCGGTAAAAGTTGTCAAAGCAGGACATCGATCCAGGCGCCGTATTTTTTTTTGGGGGGGGGTGGAAGGAGCAAATGTAGGAGGCGTGCGTGCGCGTAGAGTTTTTCTCAGGTGG